AAAAAAAAAAAAAAAAAAAAAAGAAGCCAGATCACAGATGTCTCAAGTGCTGGACTGAGGGGCATGGGTGTGGGGATGTCAGAACGGGTGGCCCCGGGCATCTGAGAGCCTGCCCCAGGCCGGAGGGGCCCAATGTGAGGAGGGGGTTTGGCCACCGGTGCTGCCAAAGGGTGGGGTAGCCTGGCTGATCACTTGACTCTGCTGTGCTGGGGTTAGGGTTTCCCAGTGAGCAGCCCCATGAATGATTGATGTCCTCTCAGCTTGGGTTTCCTGCCCACCCGCCTTAGTGCCGCCGGGTGCCATGCAGCGGGCCCCAGCAAGGGGCCGTGGGGACAGCTGGCATGCCCTGCTTCTTCTAGCCATCAGCCTGCACCTTACAGGTAAGTTGGGCCTTGCTGGTGAGGCCTGAGGTTGGGGGGGGTGCCCAGGGTTCTAACCCAATAGGGGCTGAGCTTGCAGAGCGGGGTCAGCTCAAGAAAGAGCCCTGGGGGTGGGGAGGCCCAGGCTAAAGACCAAGTGTCTGGAACCAGCCATGGGCCACAGGCAGGGTCTGGCCCTTCTGGGACATGTGGTCCCTCTTCCAGTTGCCCTGCCACCAGACCCTTCACCCTCAGAGGGAAGCTCCCTCCCCTCCACTACCGGGCAAGTGGGCCTCTTGGGTTCCAGGGTTGGATGCCCCCCACCCCACCTCACCCCCATCACACTACAGAGCCACCATCCCCTTCTATATTTAGTAGCTTGAGGGGACAAATGGAGGCCACTTTCTGCCTCATCTGCGGAAAGTATGTGCTGGGGTGCTCCTAGTACTGGACTACAGGTTCACCCTCAGACTCCTATGGCCCATGGGAAACAGAGCCCTTCCCTCTTGTAATTTTAAACACTTGAGCCACAGGATATGAGGCATGAAGCGCCTTGAGATGAACTGCCCATGTGTTTTCAAACTGTATTCCCTGGAACCTTACAGGAGTGTTCTCACCCCCTTTAACCTGAGCACTGCTTCTCGGTTCCTGTAGGTGTTCAGCTATAACACTTTATTTAAAGACAAAATTCAACAACTTTAATGATTAAGTTTGAAAGTCTCTGATTTCATCCACTTGGACACACTGGATTCCACATGCAGAAAGAGTAAGTCTGGGATGGAGTCTGGGGTACTCTCCCCTTGTTATCTCTGACCCTGGACAAGTCATTGATTCTCTGTTTTTGTTTTTTGAGGCAGAGCCTCACTCTGTCACTCTAGGTAGAGTGCTGTGGCATCATAGCTCACAGAAATCTCAAACTCTTGGGCTCAACTGATTCTCTTGCCTCAGCCTCCCAAGTTGTTGGGACTATAGGCACTCGCCATGGTACTTGGTTAGTTTTTCTATTTTTAGTAGAGATGGGGTCTCACTCTTGCTCAGGCAGCTCTAGAACTCCTGAGCTCAAGCAATCCACCCTCCTTAGCCTTCCAGAGTGCTAGGATTACAGGCATGAGCCACCACTCCTGGCTTGATTTTCTGAACCTTTCTCTCCTTGTCTGTAAAATGGATTGCATAAGGAGGACAGAAGGGCATCTATTTTTAAGTCCCTGCTATAGGGTAACTACCCAAAAGGTGATGGTGATGGCCCAGAGAGAGACAGTGACTTACCTGGAGATATACTATACTCTCTCCCTCCCTCTCTTTCTTTCTTTCTTGAGACAGGATCTTACTCTATCACCTGGGCTAGACTGCAGTGGCCTCATCATAGCTCACTGCAACCTTAAATTCCTGGGCTCAAGTGATCCTCCTGTCTCAGCCTCCTGAGTAGCTGGCAGTACAGGTGCACCACCATGCCCAGCTGATTTTTCATAGAGATGAGGTCTTCCTGTGTTGCCCAGGCTGGTCTCAACCTCTGTCATATACTCAGTCATTCACAAAATCACTGACTCCCCAGGCACCTATTACATGTCCAGCGGTATTCTGGGGACCCCAAATGGACACTGTTATGGAAGCCAACATGCGCGCTGCTGGCCAAAGACCCCGCACAGAGCTCGATGACGAGGACTACTACCCCCAGGGTGGCTGGGACACAGTCTTCCTGGTGGCCCTGCTGCTCCTAGGGCTACCAGCCAATGGGCTGATGGCGTGGCTGGCCGGCTCACAGGCCCGACATGGAGCCGGCACACGGCTGGCCCTGCTCCTGCTCAGTCTGGCCCTCTCCGACTTTTTGTTCCTGGCGGCAGCAGCCTTCCAGATCCTGGAGATCCAGCATGGAGGGCACTGGCCACTGGGGACAGCTGCCTGCCGCTTCTACTATTTCCTGTGGGGTGTGTCCTACTCCTCTGGCCTCTTCCTGCTGGCTGCCCTCAGTCTGGACCGCTGCTTGCTGGCACTGTGCCCACGCTGGTACCCTGGGCACCGCCCCACCCGCTTGCCCCTCTGGGTCTGCGGCGGGGTCTGGGTGCTGGCCACGCTCTTTAGCGTGCCCTGGCTGGTGTTCCCCGAGGCTACGGTCTGGTGGTACGACCTGGTCATCTGCCTGGACTTCTGGGACAGCGAGGAGCTGCCACTGCGCATGCTTGAAATCCTGGGGGGCTTCCTGCCTTTCCTGCTGCTCTTAGTCTGCCACGTGCTCACCCAGGCTGCGGCCTGCCGGACCTGTCGCCGCCACCAGCCTTGGCCTGCAGTCAGCCGGGGTTTTGCCCAAGTGGCCAAGACCGTTCTATCGGCCTATGTGGTCCTGCGGCTGCCCTACCAACTGGCGCAGCTGCTCTACCTGGCCTTCCTGTGGGACATCTACCCTGGCTACCTGCTCTGGGAGGCCCTGGTCTACTCTGACTATCTGATCCTGCTCAACAGCTGCCTAAGCCCTTTCCTCTGCCTCATGGCTAGCGCTGACCTCCGGGCCCTGCTGCACACCGTCTTTTCCTCCTTTGCTGCGGCTGTCTGTGAGGAGCAGCCAGGCAGCTTCACACCAGGTGAGCCACAGACCCAAGTGGATGCTGAGGGTTTGACTCTTCCAGGGCCAACAGCTGTGGCCCCACCTCTTCTGAGCCCCATGGCTCAGCAACTGTTGGATCCTGTGGCCTCCCCTCAGCTGAGCCCCACAGCTCAGCCACTGTCAGAGTCTATGGCCTCCCCTCAGCTGAACCCCACAGCTCAGCCACTGTCAGAGCCCATGGCCCCCCCTCAGCTGAACCCTGCAGCTCAGCCACTGTCAGAGCCTGTGGCCTCGCCTCAGTTAAACACTGAGGCCCAGGCCCCTGGACCCACTGCCAGCTCAGCCCCCAGCCCCTGTGATGAAGCCTCCCCTTCCCCATCCTCAGATCCCACCCCAGCAGTCCCTAAGAACCAAGCCACACCATTTGCCCCTGAGGGGGAAAGCCCCAGCAGCACCCTTCCAGAGGAGGTCCCCAGCACAGGCCCCATGTGAGGGTCCTGGAAACACAGGCCACCAGGGCACCAGAAAAGCCAGGGTGAGACAGAAACTGGCCAGTCCAAAAGATGGGGCTGTTGAGAACCTCACCGTAGAAAACAGAGTCCCTCTGGCCTGGAAGGGAAGAAGGGGGTGAAAGCCCAAAGCCTCAGACTGTCTATGGGGAGCATCCTCTGCCCTGTCTCACCAAGCTCTTCCACAATCATCACCAACACACACTGTTTCACAGCAGTCCCCCAAGCCACAGCTAATGGCACCCTCCAGCACCTCCAGACCCTGACACACTCCCCTGTTCCTGCCTCCTGCTGAAGGAAGAGCACAGGAGGTACTTTCCCTGGGCTTGGTCCGACTGCCCTTTGACCCTTCCCTCCCTCAGCCCTTCCCTGTCCTGTCCTCCAGCCTGGACACAGGATGCCTAACACAATAGTTCCTGCAGACAAAAGAGGCTTCTGCAGCCAACATCCCCAAGCAAGAGCCTGTGGTCCTAGTGGCCCACAAGCTAGCCTGGCATGGCCAAGCCCTCTCCACCAGTTTCCTGCCCCCAACAGTCAATGAGGCTGGGTCGGGACCACCCTCAGCAAAGCAGCAGGCAAAAAGGCAAGAACTATGTGGCCTAGATTCAAATCCAGCTCTGCCATGTCCTAGCTGAGTGACTCTGGACAAGCTACATCACCTTTTGAGCTCCTGTGTCATCTGCTGTTGTGAGAATTAAACAAGAAAGTGTGTGAGGTGCCAACAAGAGCCTAGCACACAGTAGGGGATCAGTGAACAGATGTACAGATATTCTTTTCCTTCACTGACATACAGGGATGGGCGGGGGAGGCAGATGGGAGAGCCATGACCTGGCCTGAGCATCTGGGATCCTGCGACCAGTCTGCACCATGGACATCCAGGTGGCCTGAGAGAGCAAGGGGCTGCCTTTATGCCTTGGTAGGGGAGCTTCCGAGGGCTTCAAAGTCTGACTCCATTTAAGGATTCTACTAGCATCCCCATGCTCCTCAGTCCCTGCACAGGGCTGCAGAGGGATACAGTACCCTCTTCCCCACCAGGGCCAGCCACCTCCCTTCATCTAAGCCTGAGGACACAGGTGAGAGTCTGTTCAAGCACAGAGAACTCTGGTTTCCACAAGGGCAAAGGCTCCTGGAGGTCACACAGCATCTTAGGGCAGAAGCAGCTCTTCCTTCTCAAGACTGTAGACACTGCAGAAAAATCTAGGAAGTGTCAAAGGTCTGTCTTCCCATCTCCACCCCACTTCCCTTTTCATGCCTGGCACCTACACCACCTAGCTTTCTCCCAAGCCCCAGGGTTCTGAAGTTGTGCCCCCTTCTCTCTCTTCACCCTTCCGTTCCCATTAGTTCAGCATCTCTTCACCCTTCTGTTCTTATTAGCTCAGCATTGTGGCCTTCAGCAACTGAGAGGTGCCCTACCAGCAGGTGTAAGTGACATAATGTTTTAGGTGCTACCCTTCCCAGGGTTGCATGCATTTCAAAAAGGAAGCAGGCTGAGCAGGCCTCCTGGAGCACTGCAGTTACATCTGGGTTCTGGTGCCTCACTCATGCTCGGCCTCAGTTTTCTCCTCTGTAAAATGGGGTGATAATGGTCCCCTTGGGGTTAGCAGTTATGACCCCAGGATGGGAAGTATGCTGGGTGGTAGAGTGATGATGCTAGAAACATCATCAAAGTATTTCTGAGTAATGGAATTGTGGGCACAGCAGCAGGTGAGAGAGTGATTTCTGGACAGGCGGAAACTAGTTGAATTTATTCACCCAACAAATATTTATTGAGCACTTGCCAGGGTTCTGGCCAGCCTTCCACTGTGGAGACACATGGGTGGGGTTAAGAGCGTACACTCTGGGGTCCCTCAGGGGTTGTTCAAATCCTGGCTCCACAATCATACATGACTGCCAACAAAGTTCTTGGTCTCTTTGAGACTTTGTTTCTCCATCTGTAAAATGAGGATCATACTAATGGAGACCCTAGGAGTACCAGTCCCCATGAAGCACCTGGATCTTCACCTAGCACAAAGAAAGCGTTCAGTAACTGTTAGCCATTAATTTGATTGCACCAGTGGGCACTCCAGGCCAATACTGAGCCATAGCTCTGAGTCCATTTGGCAGGTCACCTGCCCACCAGATATCATCTCCCTGCCACACATACTGCCCCTTTACTCACAAGATCAGCATTAACCCTCCCTATCCTGTCCAAGTGCACACTATGAGCACAGGGCCTGAACTTCTGTGCCCCTGTCCCATTTTCTGGTTGGAGCTCCCAAAGCATCTCCATCATGTCAGGCAGATCAGGGAATAAAACCTCAGGACCAGCCACCTGCCTTTAGCACTGGTCCACACTCTAGTGAAATAGTTCCACTTCTAACAGAAATTCCTCCCATAATGGGTAATTTCTATCTAGGAGAATGGGCCATACCTGAAGGGTTTTGCAGGATACAGAGAAATTCTGATGGGATGGCCCACAGGGTTTTGTGTTAGAAAAAATGGGCACAAAAGAGGGCTCACCTGGCTGGGTGAGGCAGCTCATGCCTATAATTCTAACACTTTAGGAGGCTGAAGTGGGTGGATTGCTTGAGCTCATAAGTTCAAGCCCAGCCTGAACAAGAGTAAGACACACACACCCCCGCCCCCGGTCTCTACTAAAAATCAGAAACTGAGGAAAGAGGATCTCTTGAGCCCAAGAGTTTGAGGTTGCTATGAGCTATGATTCCACAACATTCTACCAAGGACAACAAAGTGGACTCTGTCTCCAAAAAATAAAAAAAGAGGCTTGAAAAAAAAGAGGCTTGGCGCCCGTAGCTCAGTAGCTAGGGTGCTGGCCACATACACCGGGGCTGGCGGGTTCAAACCCAGCCCGGGGTCTGCTAAACAACAATGACAACTACAACCAAAAAATAGCCAGGTGTTGTGGCGGGTGCCTATAGTTCCAGCTACTTGGGAGGCTGAGGGAAGAGAATCGCTTAAACCCAAGAGTTTGATGTTGCTGTGAGCTGTGACACCAGGGCACTCTACCAAGGGTGACACAGTGAGTCTCTGTCTCAGAAAAACAAAACAAAACAGGGCTAACCCTCAAGACATTCCCCAGCCCCTCACTTTGCCCTTAACACATCCCAGGCGGCGGGGCTCCTGTTATCCTCTGGGAGATTCCCTCCCCCTTCAGGTGTCAGACACCTCTCCCTCTGCTTCCCTGGGACCAGCATTGACTGTAAGAGGTTTTTTTTGGGGGGGGGGGTTGTTTGTTTGTTTTGGTATTTTTGTAGTTTTGGCCGGGCTGAGTTTGAACCCGCTACCTCTGGTATATGGGGCGGGCACCCTACTCCTTGAGCCACAAGCGCCGCCCAACTGTAAGAGTTAAGACTGCAAGCATCTTTTAATCCTGCACTCAGGGCTGCTTTTCATGCATTCACTGAACATACATTACTTGATCCCATCCCATGTGCTAGGTCTTGTTCTAGGTGCTGGGAATACAGTGGGAAGCAAGATGAAGTCTTGCCTCAATTTGCCAACATCCTAGTGAGGCAGGGCAGACACCAGCGTGCAAATCAATACATAATGTGACATCACGTGGGGGTTAAAAACAATGCAGTGGGAGTAAGAGCCAGACAGAGTGCCTGGGTGAGAGGGTGGGGGTGAAGGCTCAAGGAGGAGGTGGAGAGACCTGGAGGAAGTCAACGATGGAACCTTTCTAAGGTTAGGGAAAGGAGCTTCCAGATGGAGGGAACAAGATGTGCCCAGGTCCTGTGGTAGGAATGAAGGTAGACAAGAGTGTCAGTGTCACTGGGCCACATGCAGGGAGAGAATAGGAATAGGTGATACACAGGTGGGGGGCAGGGGTCAGACAGGCATGGGTGAGGGGTGGAGGGATGCAGGGGCAGTAGATTTTATTTTAGCTAGGGCCATGAGGAGTTGGAGGGAGGGTTGAGAGTCGGAGATTGACATCATCTGGGCTTTAGACAGACCTGCCTGGCTGTGGTCTAGGGTCATTGGAGAGGGAGGCTTTCCTGCTGTCATCCTGTATCCACTTCCTCACACTCTCGTCTGGGGCTGTGCCCACCCTGCCAGTCCTCAGATTTGTAGAGCAATGGGAAAAGCAAGGTCTTTGGAGTCAAACCGATGCGGACTGAATCTGGCTGGACGGCCTCAAGCAGGAACCTTCCCTCTATGAGCCTGCTCCTCAAATGGCCCAGTGGTAAAAGAAATGAGATGGGGTGCAAGCCCAAGCCCCCTTGGGACACAGTGGGGGCTTCCTGCCACCAGAGACAAGGCTCTTTTCACTTTTCTCCCTCTCCACTCTTTCCCACCCCCTCTTTCTGGGAAAGGGACCCTGCCATTACCCCTTGGTCAGCCAGGGCTCAAGGGAGGAACAAGGAAGGTAGCCAGTGCCCCAGAATCACTGGCCTGAGAGAGAGGAACAGACTCCACCTGTGGGACGCCTAAACCCCCCAGGGTGTGGCCGGATGGGGTGCATGGAAGGGAGGCGGGGTCTGGGCTCCTTGTCAGAGGATCTGGCTGGAGAAAGGCAGAAGCTTATGGACTGACCATCTCCAGGCCTCTGCGGGAAAGGGTGGAGGTACGGAAGTAACGTTAGGGAACGGGATCCATGGATGGTAGCCCCATTTTGACTGTTATTAAGAAGACCTGGAGGGACCCACGGGTGTTTTTCTGGGAGCATGGGATGGCGGGCCTTCCATTCGCTGCTTAAAACACTGCTATTTTATTTACATTGTTAACCAAGAGCAATGAACTTTTATAACTTTTTTTTTTTTTTTAAAGAGGAGTGTGAATGTATCAACCGCCTGTGTAGACGCTACATTTGGGGCGGGTGAAGAGTACCTTGAAAGTGCAAGTTCAGGTCGGGGGCGGGAGGGCGGAGCTTCGCCTCATCCTGGCAACTCCTGCAGAAGCCGCAATGAAGAGCGGTACGTGGAAGGGGTCGGGGATGGAGGACGGGCAGCACAAATACCTGCCACCCCACCCTAGAGGTAGTGGAGGACGCAGAAAGCGGCTCCTCTGCCCCGCCCAGGCCCCAGGCGCCGCTCAGCCTCCCTCCCCGCCCCTCCGCGCGTGACCCGGCCCCGCCCACGTGAGCCCCCGCCCCGCCCCGCCCCGCCCCCCACTCCCAGCTACTCTGTCACTTCCTGATTCCCGCTTCCTGCTTCCCAGAGGCCGGGATCCGGAGCCACCCGAGGCCTGTGCTGCAGCCCCCGGCGCCCACGGTGAGCGCAGCCGGGCTGGGGGGGCGGGGCAGGAGGGGATGAGGCGCGTTGCGGGTCCGAGGAGCCCCTCCCCTCTACTGCCCCCTGGTCAGCCCCAACTCCCCTTGGCCGCCGCCTCTCGTCTCTTGGGCTCCTGAAGTTGGTCTCCTGGTTCTCTGTGGATCCCACTTCGAGGCAGCGCTGGGATGCTCTGAAGCTGGCAGCTGCGTTCCATCTCCCGCTCGGTCCTGCCAACACCCCTGCGCCAGGCTGGGACTCTCTGTAGCTCCCTGCACTTTTCCTGGGATTTAGAACTGGGTCCCACAATGGGGAGCCCTTTTCCTGTCTTCTCTCTCCTTCCTCCCAGTTACCTAGTCTCCAAATCCCTGGGCAGGGAAGAGGCTGCTTCCAGCTGGCTGGCATCTACCAAGAACTAAACTTTCTCCAGCTTCTGCACCTCCCACCTCCTACCCCCCCCCCCTCCCCCCCCCCCCTCCCCCCCCCCCATGTCCTCCTCCCCCCCCCCCCACACACACACACATACCAGAGCCAGGGAGGGGTCTTGGTTGAGCCCTGTAAAGCCCATTGGGACTCTGCAGGGTCCAGGGCTCAGTGCATTCACCCCTGCAGGTCACCACTTGGGGGAGGCAGCCGGGCTCTTCACCTGTGACCTTTCTCTGGGGAACCTGAAACCCAGGCAGGTTACAATGACTAGGTTCCCAGTTGCATCCTCCTCACTTCCCTTCATGCAGCCTTGGAAAGACTGGGGTTGTTGGGATGGACCAAGCTGATCCACGCCTCTCTGTCCTACAGACATGTCCTTCCGCAAAGTGGTGCGGCAGAGCAAATTCCGTCATGTGTTTGGGCAGCCGGTCAAGAATGACCAGTGCTATGAAGACATTCGAGTGTCCCGTGTTACCTGGGACAGCACCTTCTGTGCAGTAAACCCCAAGTTCCTGGCGGTGATTGTGGAAGCCAGTGGTGGCGGTGCCTTCCTGGTGCTCCCCTTAAGCAAGGTGGGCCCTGTTAGGTCTGGGAGAGGTACTGGAGACACCTCGGCCACACCTGCTGTACCTGTCTGCACACCTGACATCCCTTATCTTGCCTCTGCTAGATAATGACACTGCTGGGCAGGTGTCATAATCCAGATTTATTGCCCAAGAAGTGTTAGCACAAAGTGTGAAAGCAGTTTATTGCCATGGAGTCAGAGTTAGAGGCAAGAAACATTTTTTGCTCACCGGGTGATTGGAGCTCAGTCACATCTGGGCCACTTGTGAGCTGAGCCAAGGGCACCATTCTCACTCCAGAGAAGGGAAACTAAGGCTCTGGGAGGGATGGAGCAGAGGTCTTGGATCCCACCTGATTGCCCCTCATGCCCTTAGACGGGCCGCATTGACAAGGCATACCCAACGGTGTGTGGGCACACAGGACCTGTGCTAGACATCGACTGGTGTCCTCACAACGATGAAGTCATCGCCAGTGGCTCAGAGGACTGCTCGGTCATGGTGAGGCACAGCACTGGTTGGACCAGGGTCATGGGTGTGATTCAAGGTTGCAGGCAGCAGGGGCAACATAGGACTCAGCCCACTGGCCCTGTCCCTACCACAGGTGTGGCAGATCCCTGAGAATGGGCTGACCTCCCCACTGACTGAGCCGGTGGTGGTGCTGGAGGGGCACACCAAGCGAGTGGGGATTATCACCTGGCACCCAACAGCCCGCAATGTGCTGCTGAGTGCAGGTCTGTACTGTTCCTGCCCCACCCCCATAGCCATCTCCCTCCCCATCTCTGAAATGTCCCAGCAGCCTCTCCCAGGCCCCTCTGACAAATGGGGAAGCTGAGGTCCTCAGAGGTCGTGAGATCCAGGCTGGTCCAGGAGTTGGGCAAAGTGGGCCTGGTGAACCAGTGGCCCCCTAACACCTACCCAGGACTGAGCTGACAGCCCCTCACCCTGCCAGGCTGTGACAACGTGGTGCTCATCTGGAACGTGGGCACAGCAGAGGAGCTGTACCGCCTGGACACCCTGCACCCAGATCTCATCTACAACATCAGCTGGAACCGCAATGGCAGCCTCTTTTGCTCCGCATGCAAGGACAAGAGCGTGCGCATCATCGACCCCCGTCGGGGCACCCTGGTGGCAGTATGTGGCTGCAGAGGGCGAGGATTGCTGTAGATAGGTGTAGGAGCTTGATTGGGGCATTGCACTAACTGGCCTGTCCCCCTATAGGAGCGAGAGAAGGCTCATGAGGGAGCCCGGCCCATGAGGGCCATCTTCCTGGCAGATGGCAAGGTGTTCACCACAGGCTTCAGCCGCATGAGTGAGCGGCAGCTGGCGCTCTGGGACCCAGTGAGTGGCTGTGGCTAGCCTGAGGGGCAGTCTTGAGACTTGGGCCCCACCTAGGCCAGGTGGGCAGGGGTCACCCTAGGGAGGCCTGCAGTTCCCAGTTTCTCTGCCTGGCACTTGAGCCTCTCCTGTCCTGCCTCCTGCTCCCTGCCCTCCTCCCACATCCCTGTTGCCTCCCGCTGCCTCCGCGTCTCTGCCAACTGCAAGTCACTTCCCCACTTTACTTGCCTGGACCACCGGCTGCCCATCGAGGCCCATGGGGGGAACTCCCTCCTCCAACCTCCCAGCCCTTCCCCAGCACACTCTTTCCCAGTGTCCCTACACACTGACCTCCAAGGCCCCTTCGAGGCAAGGACTGATGCTACTTGGCAACCTGCTAGAGAATTTCTCAGCCTGCTCAGGGGGCTGGGAGTAGGCTTGTGGCCTGGAGAAGGTGGGGACGGAGAACCCTGGAGTGGAAAGGAGGACCTGTTGAGGGACATTGTGTGGCACAGGCCTCTTGAGCCTGTCCTGGTAGTTTGGGATGGAGGAGGAGGTTCTGCTTGGCCTGACTGCCCCCAATGTACCAGGGAAACCTTGAGGAGCCCATGGCCCTGCAGGAGCTGGACTCGAGCAACGGGGCCTTGCTGCCCTTCTACGACCCCGACACCAGTGTGGTCTACGTCTGTGGCAAGGTGGGGATGGGCAGGGCCGAGGGAGCAGTGGGTGGGGAGAGCAACAGCTGAGCGCTGAGCCCCCTCCCCACACAGGGTGACTCCAGCATCCGGTACTTTGAGGTCACAGATGAGCCCCCCTACATCCACTTCCTGAACACATTCACCAGCAAGGAGCCCCAGAGGGGCATGGGCAGCATGCCCAAGAGAGGCTTGGAGGTCAGCAAGTGCGAGATCGCCCGGTAAGAGGGCCACTGAGGCAGCTCAGGGTTCACCTCAGGGATCTGGCATGAGACTGAGTCAACCTGAGGGACAGCCAGAGGCACCCAAGATGAAAGGTTAGATCACAGGAACAGAATGTGCCACAGAGCCAGGGGTCAGCCTGTAGGAAGGAGCCATTTTGGCCATGGGCAGGACAGGCCATGGGAGGGAGTCTCCCAGGCAGTCCTGGGAGGGGTGTCTGGGGTAGGAAGCAGAAATGGCGGGTGTGGGGAGCCTGGAGAGCTGATGGGGGGGTTTCACCCATGGCTCCTTGCCCCTCTTTCCAGGTTCTACAAACTACATGAACGCAAGTGTGAGCCCATCATCATGACTGTGCCAAGAAAGGTGAGGCCACTCAGTTGTACCTGGCTCCTTATCTAGCAGGTGGGCCACACAAAGGTGACAAGAGTGAGGCCTGTGAAAGGGACTGTGCTAAGCAGGTGGCAAGCAGGATGAGACAGGTTGAGCCAAGGCCTCACCTTGCAGGAGCCACAGGAGACAGATACCCACAGTTAACTGGGGAGTGGCAGCCCCGATGGCTTCCCAAAGTTGAGTACCATCCAGAGGTGGGTAACCCAAGTAAAAGGCACAGCAGTGGGAATGCAGAGCAGAACAGGAGGGAGTCTGGCTGCAGAAAGAGTCCCACAAGGAGGGGACCAGGCCATATGTGGCTTAGCTTCAGATGCTCAGCTAAGAGCCATGACCACACTTCCACTGTTCTCCACTTACATCTGCTGGGTGCTATACTCAGAGTGTTGGGCACGTCTCAGGGAGCTGAGACCAAGGCTTACAGTGCCTGGCCCAGGAGCTCACCATCTGTGGTGTACAGACTTGGCCCCCAGAATCCCACAAACCACACAGCCAGTCCCTGCAGCTTGCAGGGGAAGGTGACAGGGGACCCTGCTCAGGAAGGTTGGGGCAGCCTTCAGAGGGAGTAGTCCAGAAAGGAAGTTAAAGGACAGATTTTTTTTTTTTTT